TTATTTATTTATTTATTTATTTATTTATTTAATGAGTGTGGGCTATGCATGTGGTGGTCAGGGGACAACTTTGTGGAGTCAGTTCTCTCCTTCTACCACGTGAGTTCCAGAACTTGGTCACCTTGCCAGCCCCACCCATACCTTTTCTACGGTGCTAGGGAATGAACCTAAGGCTTCATGAACCTAAACAAGCACTCTACCAACTAAGCTACATCCCAACCCTCTCTTTATAGCTTTATAGCAGGCCTTGAACTTGTGGTCCACTTGCCTCAGCCTCCAGAGCAGGTGGGATTGCAGACCTGTTTCACCAGGTCTGGCTAAACTCACTGTCTCAGCAGCACCCCTAGCTCAGGCCTGACTCTGTATGTTCCTGTTTGGTGCACAGGGAGCAGTCTGCCCAGGGGCCAGCAGGGCCCCTTCCTGTCATGCTGTCTCACAAGGAACATTCTATGACTTCCTCTACCTCAGGTCGACCATAGTCTGGAATGGGCTATGTTTCCACATCTGTCCTACTGGAGGCCCTCTGGCTGTTGGCAGGGACGGGGCATTCTTTAATTCCAGTGACCAGCTAAGGTACAGCAGTGTGGGCCAGTCCAGACCCGTTTCATCATCCAACCAGCTGCTGGCAAGGGCCGCCCAATTACTTACCAAGGCCTGGCGTGCTGGCGAGGGTTCAGAGTGCAGCGTCCACAGAGCTGACCATGCATTAATAAATCCAAGGGGAGATGGGGAACAGGTCAGACCATGGCACAGAAGGATCCTGGGAGTGGTCTGGTCCCCTGCATGTCAGTGTGTCCTCACCTGGCTGCCTGGTGTCTCTGGAAAGCCCCATGCCCGTCGGGGTCGGGGGTGTGATGATGATGTTGGGGACCGTCAGGTTTTTCTCGTTCAGCACAGGGGCCTCATCGTGATTGCTGCTGTTGCTGCTGACGCACATCTTAAAGCCTGAGGGACACAGGATGCAGAGGCCATCAGCACCCAGGCAACCCCACCAAGGCTTTTTCCCTTTCTCCTTACCCTGCACAGATGGGGAAACTGAGGCTCAGGAGAAGGAAATGCCCCCCCCCCCCCCGGAGCTTACAAAGCTCCATGACGGTGGTGAGTCTGCATGTCTCACCCACTGAGGAACCCTAGGTTCCCAGGGTAATGGGCATGGGCAGGTCCCCAGAGTGTCTCTGGGACTGATAGCTCTCCCAAGCTGCCTCTCCATAAGGAGTCTTCTGAAAGGCTGTCAGGTGTGCACTTTTCCCTAGTCACTGAGGGGAAAATTCACGCCTGTAGTAACCTGGCCTGGGCATGTGACTGTGTAAGAGTTCTGAGGGGAAAGTTTAAGGACTTCTGTGACTGTGCTAGAGACAGGGTCTAATTCCATAACCCAGGCTGGCCACAAACACACAGCCCTTGTCATGCTTCAGCCTCCCAAGTCCTTGGATGACGAGCATGTGACACCACCCCGGGCTTCAAATGTGGGTCTCCTGTCCTACCTTGCCTTTTGTCAGTTTGGGCAAGCTGTACCTTTCTAGCAGTTTCCCTTTATCTTCTAAGCTGATGAATTCAAAGGCTTACTTCCCCAAGTCAGTGGTCAGCTGGCTACGCCCAGTTATGGGACTGGAGTCACAGGAAGCTGTTCTCTATCCCACTTCCCTCCTTCTGGCTAGAGCCAGCGTGCCCACCAGCGGCCCCACTCCAGAGTCTATCACCTCCCCAACCTGCAGGTCCCCCCCCACCGTGACCACTTCTCCCCCTCCACCCACACCCCTCTTTTGGTCTTCTAGCTGGACCCTCTTTCCCCAAGTCTGTGGAACCTGACACAAAATCCCAAGGACAGTTAGGGCAGCATTTCCCAAAGTGTGTTCCCTGGAACACCTGGCCTGAGACGCTCCAGGAAGGGGCTCCACAATCAAATGGTTTGGGAACCCTACATGTCTGTTGACTGAATGCATCGACTCACTCCCTCCCCTCTAGAGACTCACAATTCTGCTAGGTAAAGGCTCTGAGAAGTCCTGTATGAGAAAAGGTTTTGCTGTTTTTCCTCTTTTGAGACAGGCTCTTACCATAGCCCACGCTAACCTGGAATTTACTCTGTAGTCCAGGCTGGTCACAACCTCAAAGTAATTCTCTGACTAGCACCTTCCCAGTGCTGGGATTACAGGTGTAAACCACCATACCTGGCATGGATAGGTTTTTAATGGTGCTTAACCCCGGGTTTCCCACATTTAAGATGACCTTAGAATGTAATTCTGGAGGAACACAAGTCGTGAAATGAATTCTGGGAAATGCTGGGCACAGCTTCCCAGTCTCCCAGCCTAGTCACCTGTCCTGTCCTGTGTGCTACCCACTCAGGGCCCCCAAACCCACTGGGCTCCCTCAGCCCCTTTACCCTCCCTTGCCTACAGTGCTCCCTTACCTAGAATGTGCTTTCTTCTCTAGGCCGATGACCTCCAACTTATCCCTCCAAACCTGGCAGAGCAGGCTCACACCAGCTCAGTCTATGAACTCATAACCTCCTTGGCCTGTGTTCTCTACTCATCGGCTCTGAGAGGCCAAGGTCCTACCTTTGGCCTAGGGCACCTGGAGGCCACCACCTTTCCCTCACTGGTACCCTGTGAGCCCAGCACAGAGCCTGGGGCAGAGGAAATGGCAGACCTTTAAATTTTACGTGAATTAAAGAAAACCTTCAGACACTAAGTTCTTTAGGGTCTGTCGTGTCTTCTCCCAAGAGAGACTTGGGGGGCAATTAAGTGTCATAAAGCTGGGCGACAGTCCTGAGTGACTGTTCCTGACACCCCAGGCCCACCCTGGGAACCATCAGGAGGTCCTTAAGCCATGTGCCTCATCTTTGGTGGGGAGGGGGCTTAGGGACTCATTCTAAAAAACAGACTGGGCAGTAGTGAGCGTCACTTCTGAGGCGAGGTCTAAGACACTGCCTGTCTTCCCTTGTCCTGTCTTGGCCACTGGTCCTGTGGAGAGGTCAGACCTCATTCCCAGAGGACACCCAAGTGTGACAGGACCTGGAAGCCATGTCTGCCAAAGCCGGGTGTGGTGATGCATGCCTGTCATCCCAGCACTTAGAGGCGGAGGCAGTAGGATCAGGAGTCCACGACCTGAAATGTAGAGCAAGCCTATGTTTCAAAACACACACACACACACACACACACACACACACACACACACAAGCACAAAAGGAACAGTTTACTGAAAATACTGATCCGGGGGCTGAAGAGATGGCTCAGCAGTTAAGAGCACTGGCTGCTCTTACAGAGGACCCGGGTTCAATTCCCAGCACCCACATGAAGGCTAACAACTATCTATACCTCCAGTTCAGGGGATCTGACACACTCTTCTGGCCTCCAAGGGTATTGCATACATGGTACAGTTACATATATGCAGGCAAAATACACATACACAGAAAACAACTTTTCAAAAAAGTACTGACCCTGTTCTGGGGCGGGCAGCTAATGGCAGGAAGGGATGAGGCCGTTTGGATTCTGTCTCCTGGCCAGCTCTGCACGCAGGCCTGCTAAATCACTTGGATGTATCTGAACTAGTGATACAAGGTTGACAAACCTCAGGTGTACAGTAGCCCCTCACCCCTTCACGGGTGGCACAGAGGGTCACTGAGGCAAACTGACCAGGTTCTGACCACTGGTCACTGAGGCACCTGGTTGTCTTCGAGTCACTGTCCTCAGCCTGCAAATGACCTTGGATTCTAGAATAAGCAGACCCGCTAGACACATCACCCCGGAGTAAGCTTGCCCCCAAGCAGGACAGTCATCTCATGGAACAGGTTAGGGACTTCTCTGAGTCAGGGCGAGGAGCCAACACAGACGATTGGTCAGATTCACCCTGGCCCTGGCTCCTTAACCATACATACCATGGCTATTTTGATTAAAATTTTTTCCTATCTTTTCTCCTTTTTGGTTTGAGACAGGGTCTAGCTATGTATGTAGCCCAGGCTGTTTTCAACCTCCTAGTCCTCCTGCCTCAGCCTCTCCAGGGCTTGGATTCCAGGCACAAGCCACGGTATACAAATCCTGGGGGGCATAATCCAACCCACGACAGCACAGACGGGGAGGCTTGGGGGCCTGGTGAGGTGGCTGCCCGCCCTCACACGTCAGCACCACAGCTGCACTCTGTCACACAGCAGCATCAGGAGGAGCCAGCACTGCCTGTGACTACACAGAGAGAGGGGACAGCTAGACATGCATGCCTGGAGCCTTCCACCCTGACAGCATCTCCCCTCAGACTATCAGAGTCCGAGTCTCTTCCCCAGAACAAATGGTATCTGTGTGGCAGGCCTTGCTAATGTCTGTGGGTCTTCCTAGCAACCTATCACACCCAAAGGGAGGTGGGGTGCAGCCCCAGCAACATGGGTCACCTCATGTACTGGGGGGGGGGTCCTGTTGGATCAGCCACCAATTCTTTAGCAGTCTCTCCCAGAAGTCTCTAGAACACTGGCTAAGGATTCTGACAGTTTGCAAAGTGGAGTCACAGCTCAAAATCCCCACAGTTCATGGCCCCCTGAGGGGCCCTCAAGTCCTCCTGCCACTGGCTCCCAGGAAGCAGCACACGGGCCCAGGGACTTCTCTCTGCAGAAACCCAGAGCCAGGGTACTGCTTTCTAGAAGCTGGCCAGAGAGACCCTGTCCACGTCACCCTCAGCTTTGGCCTCAGCCTAGCTCGCAGCATTCCTGTTCTCACTGACAAAATGGGGATGGGTCCCTGCCTCTGCTGGGGATGTGCCCCCTGTGCCTGGTCAAAGTCAAAGTGTCTCAGTCCCAGCCCCTCCCACCCCACCTGGAACCTGACAAGCTCCAGGCTGTGCCCTAGCACCGCCCCCCCTGCCCCCACTGCAGGTCCTGTGACCCTGTGACATGGAAGCCAGTGTGGGAGAGAGACAGCCAGGGAGGGTCTCTAGGGTTCAAACCCTTTGCCAAGGGCTGATGAAGTCTTTGCCCTCGATTCACCCCACTTTCTGCCAAATATTGCTCACCCATTGCACTGATGTGGAAGCAGAGACCAGGGAGGGTAAGTACACAGTTGACCAGCAGATGTGGGGTAGCCAGGGTCTCTAACCTGAGCCCCGCCCCCACCCACTGGAGCCCACAGCTTTCTGCACAGGGCCCTGCAGTAACTGTCTCTGCCTCTACAGCTGGTGGTCACATACAGCTCTGTGGCATGCTGGCAGCCAAAAACCTATGGGGATGCAGGCATGGCCCTGTGTTGATAAAGCTCTATTTATAACAGCAGGCAGCCAGCAGGATCCGGCCGAGGGCTGTGGCTGGCCAGCCCCTGCTGCATCATACCCAGAACAGTCCCCAGGGAGTCAGTCTGGGACAAGCCTGTTGTCCCCACAGGCCGACAGAGCCTCACGGCCCAGGCATATTGATGCCAAACCCGAATGGAGAGCCTGGCTGATGGGGAGCACTGCACCTCTGGGCCAGCTGTGTGTGACTGAATGGACTCCCACAGCCAGGGGCTTGGGACCCAGGCTCCACCTCCATCCATCTTGTCCTTACCACCAAAGGAGGGCTGAGGACATCATCGTGACAGAGTGACAGAAGGACCCCCTCACTCCAGAGCCCCTTCCTCAAATCCTCAACGCTAATGTGCCTCGGGCAGCACTTGGATTTTGACAGTATCAGAAGCTCACAGTCACAGTAATCTAGAAGTATCTGTGGCTCAGTGGAGATGATGGAGGCAGGAAAGAGAGAGGAAGGGAAGAGGGATGAAGGAAGGGAGGGGAGGGGAGGAGGCGGGGAGAGGAAGGAGGGGGAGAGGCAGGGAGGGAGGAGGGGAAGGAGGAGGGGGAAGGAGGGAGGGGTAACGGAGGTGGAAGGAGGGTGGGGCAGGGAGGGAGAGAGCAGGACCCCGGGCCTGAGCCTTCGTGCAGCCTCATGAAGCAGCAGAGGTGGCTGGGCAGAGGGCAGAGTTCTCCGAGGACCA